AATTTTCCTTCATATTGGTATCAGAGCTTCTACGATCTTGGGAGAGAATCAAATAGCTTACGCTGCCGGCGGGCGGCACTAGCCAATATGTGCTGCACGTCTGGCCATTGAGTATGTTAGCAAACGTCAAGCCAATAATATATGCATGGAGAACAATCATGTTGAGAAGAATTGAGCAAAAAGAATACAAACTTTCAAGAGATGCAAGCAAATATGGCACAAGAGGAAGAGGCTCTTCTCTAAAAAGTAGAGAAGCGGTCAAGAAAAAATAATAATTTGGGAGCTGGTGACAGGTGCAACAACAATTAGGTGTTAGTGACAAAGTGCATCAATAAGAGTTGAAGAAAAGTGCTTCAACAAAATTGGGTGTTGGTGACAAAGTGGACTAGCAAGGGTTGGAGACAAGTGCTTTAGAAAAATTAGGTGTTGGTGACATAGTGCATTAATGGGAGTTGTAGACAAGTGCTTCAACAAATCGGGTGTTGGTGAGAAAGGGCATCAACGTTAGTTGAAGACATGTGTTTCAACAAAATTAAGTTTTGGGGAAAAATTGCATCAGCGGGAGTTGGAGATGGGTGCTTCAACAAAATTTGGTGTTGATGACAAAGTGCATCAACTAGAATTGAAGACAAGTGCTTCATCAATTGGTTGTTGGTGACAAAGTGCATTAACGAGAGTTGAAGACAAGTGTTTGAACAAAATTAAGTGTTGGTGACAAAGTGCATCAATGCATGTTGAATACAGGTGCTTCAACAAAATTGGTTGTTGGTGGCAAAGTACATCAACAAGGGTTGGAGACATGTACTTCAACAAAAGTAGAAGATTGGAGAGAAGTGCTCCAATACAACAAAAGTCGTATACAACTTTGAATTATGTGTGAATGTTGGAAAACTAATTTAGAGTTGTAGTAAGAGATCTAAGTTTTTAGAATTTGTTATTTGGTAGTTTATTTAATTCATATCTAAATAGGATTTGTAGTCATAATTAATATAGGAATAGACTTTCCAGTTTTTAGTTGAAATAAGTTCCATACTATTATAAATAGGGGTATTAGTAGTCTGGCCATTAAGTATGTTGGCAAACGTCAAGCCAATAACATATGCATAGAGAACAATCATGTTGAGAAGGATTGAGCAAAAAGAATGCAAACTTTAAAGCGGTGCAAGCAAATATGGCACAAGAGGAAGAGGCTCTTCTCTAAAAACTAGAGAAGCGATCAAGAAAAAATATTATTTTGGAGGCAGGTGACAGGTGCATCAGCAATTGGGTGTTGGTGACAAAGTACATCTATGAGAATTGAAGAAAAGTGCTTCAATAAAATTAGGTGTTGGTGACAAAATGGATCAACAGGTGTTGGATACAAGTTCCTTAGAAAAATTAGGTGTTGGTGACATAGTGCATCAATGGGAGTTGTAGACAAGTGCTTCAACAAATTGGGTGTTGGTGACAAAGGGCATCAACGTTAGTTGAAGACATGTACTTCAACAAAATTAGGTTTTGGGAAAAAGTGCATCAACGGGAGTTGGAGACATGTGCTTCAGCAAAATAGGTGTTGACGACAAACTGCATTAATGGGAGTCGAAGACAAGCGTTTCAACACAATTAGTTGTTGGTGACTAAGTGCATTAATGAGAGTTGAAGACAAGTGTTTGAACAAAATTAAGTGTTGGTGACAAAGTGCATCAATGCATGTTGAAGACAGGTGCTTCAACAAAATTGGTTGTTGGTGGCAAAGTACATCAACAAGGGTTGGAAACATGTACTTCAACAAAAGTAGAAGATTGGAGAGAAGTGCTCCAATACAACAAAAGTCGTATACAACTTTGAATTATGAGAGAATGTTGGAAAACTAATTCAGAGTTGTAGTAGGAAATCTAAATTTTTTGAATTTGTTATTTGCTAGTTTATTTAATTGATGTCTAAATAGGATTTGTAGTCATAATTAATATAGGAATAGACTTTCTTGTTTTTAGTTGAAATAAGTTTCGTACTATTATAAATAGGGGTATTAGTAGTCTGGCCATTGAGTATGTTGGCAAATGTCAAGCCAACAATATTTGCATGGAGAACAATCATGTTGAGAAGGATTGAGCAATAAGAATGCAAACTTTAAAGTGGTGCAAACAAATATGGCACAAGAGGAAGGGCTCTTCTCTAAAAAGTAGAGAAGCGGTCAAGAAAAAATAATAATTTGGGAGTAGGTGACAGGTGCATCAGCAATTAGGTATTCGTGAAGAAGTTCATCAATGAGAGTTGAAGAAAAGTGATTCAACAAAATTGGGTGTTAGTGACAAAGTGGACCAACGGGTGTTGGAGACAAGTTCTTTAGAAAAATTTGGTGTTGGTGGCTTAGTGCATTAATGGGAGTTGTAGACAAGTGCTTCAACAAATCGGGTATTGGTGAGAAAGGGCATCAACGTTAGTTGAAGACATGTGCTTCAACAAAATTAGGTTTTGGGGAAAAAGTGCACCAACGGGAGTTGGAGACAGGGGCTTCAACAAAATAGGTGTTGACGACAAAGTGCATCAATAGGAGTTGAAGACAAGCGTTTCAACACAATTAGTTGTTGGTGACAAAGTGTATTAACGAGAGTTGAAGACAAGTGTTTCAACAAAATTGAGTATTGCTAACAAAGTGCATCAACGGGTATTGAAGACATGTGCTTCAACAAAATTGGTTGTTGGTGGCAAAGTACATCAACAAGGCTGGGAGACATGTACTTCAACAGAAGTAGAATATTGGAGAGAAGTGCTCCAATACAACAAAAGTCGTATACAACTTTGAATTATGAGAGAATGTTGGAAAACTAATTCAGAGTTGTAGAAGGAAATCTAAATTTTTAGGATTTGTTCTTTTCTAGTTTATTTAATTCATGTCTAAATAGGATTTGTAGTCATAATTAATATAGGAATAGACTTTCTTGTTTTTAGTTGAAATAAGTTTCATACTATTATAAATAGGGGTATTAGTAGTCTGGCCATTGAGTATGTCGGCAAACGTCAAGCCAATAATATATGCATGGAGAACAATCATGTTGAGAAGGATTGAGCAATAAGAATGCAATTTTTAAAGTGGTGCAAGCAAATATGACACAAGAGGAAGAGGCTCTTCTCTAAAAAGTAGAGAAGCGGTCAAGAAAAAATAATAATTTGGGAGCAGGTGACAGGTGCATCAGCAATTAGGTGTTCGTGACAAAGTGCATCAATGAGAGTTGAAGAAAGTGCTTCAACAAAATTGGGTGTTGGTGACAAAGTGGACCAATGGGTGTTGGAGACAAGTGCTTTAGAAAAATTAGGTGTTGGTGACATAGTGCATTAATGGGAGTTGTAGACAAGTGCTTCAACAAATCGGGTGTTGGTGAGAAAGGGCATCAACGTTTGTTGAAGACATGTGCTTCAACAAAATTAGGTTTTGGGAAAAAAGTGCATCAACGGGAGTTGGAGCCAGGTACTTCAACGGAATAGGTGTTGACGACAAAGTGCATCAATGGGAGTTGAAGACAAGCGTTTCAACACAATTAGTTGTTGGTGACAAAGTGCATTAACGAGAGTTGAGGAGAAGTGTTTCAACAAAATTGAGTACTGCTAACAAAGTGCATCAACGGGTATTGAAGACATGTGCTTCAACAAAATTGGTTGTTGGTGGCAAAGTACATCAACAAGGGTTGGAGACATGTACTTCAATAGAAGTAGAAGATTGGAGATAAGTGCTCCAATACAATAAAAGTCGTATACAACTTTGAATTATGAGAGAATGTTGGAAAACTAATTCAGAGTTGTAGTAGGAAATCTAATTTTATAGGATTTGTTATTTGCTAGTTTATTTAATTCATGTCTAAATAGGATTTGTAGTCATAATTAATATAGGAATAGACTTTCCTGTTTTTAGTTGAAATAAGTTTCGTACTATTATAAATTGGGGTATTAGTAGTCTGGCCATTGAGTATGTTGGCAAACGTCAAGCCAATAATAAATGCATGGAGAACAATCATGTTGAGAAGGATTGAGCAATAAGAATGCAAACTTTAAAGTGGTGCAAGCAAATATGGCACAAGAGGAAGAGGCTCTTCTCTAAAAAGTAGAGAAGCGGTCAAGAAAAAATAATAATTTGGGAGCAGGTGACAGGTGCATCAGCAATTAGGTGTTCGTGACAAAGTGCATCAATAAGAGTTGAAGAAAAGTGCTTCAACAAAATTTGGTGTTGGTGACAAAGTGGACCAAGTGGTGTTGGAGGCAAGTGCTTTAGAAAAATTAGTTGTTGTTGACATAGTGCATTAATGGGAGTTGTAGACATGTGCTTCAACAAATCGGGTGTTGGTGAGAAAGGGTATCAACGTTTGTTGAAGACATGTGCTTCAACAAAATTAGGTTTTGGGGAAAAAGTACTTCAACGGGAGTTGGAGACAGGTGCTTCAACAAAATAGGTGTTGACGACAAAGTGCATAAATGGGAGTTGAAGACAAGCGTTTCAACACAATTAGTTGTTGGTGTCAAAGTGCATTAACGAGAGTTGAAGATAAGTGTTTCAACAAAATTGAGTATACAAAGTGCATCGACGGGTGTTGAAGACAGGTGCTTCAACAAAATTGGTTGTTGGTGGCAAAGTACATCAACAAGGGTTTGAGACATGTGCTTCAACAGAAGTAGAAGATTGGAGAGAAATGCTCCAATACAACAAAAGTCGTATACAACTTTGAATTATGAGAGAATGTTGGAAAACTAATTCAGAGTTGTAGTAGGAAATCCAAATTTTTAGGATTTGTTGTTTGCTAATTTATTTAATTCATGTCTAAATAGGATTTGCAGTCACAAGTAATATAGGAATAGGCTTTCATCTTTTTAGTTGAAATAAGTTTCGTACAATTATAAATAGGGGTATTAGTAATTTTTTTTATTATGTGGAGAATTGTGAAAAGTATTATGAGAAGAATTGTAGAGAGCTTTCAATGATTTAATACAATAATTTTCCTTCACTGAACTTTTTATTCATTTTCCCAGACCAAAAAAATCACCGAGCATTTGCTTTGTAAATATGCTATATATTTCAAAATTCTAATATCCCTAACATCTTGAATCAAGAGTCGAATTTAAACAACTTGGAGGCAACTCCATGCCGGTGGCAGTTCCGTGGGCATTATCACATGACGAGATAGCGGGCCCACCAGCGCCATTATATACCAAATTGATTTCTGTAAGGTTGATTCCCTGGCAAGGAAATGAAGCACTGCAATTCAAAGTAACAGCTGCCACTGAACTAGAAGTTCCTCTTATGTTATTGAATGTCACGTCCTTGATTTGCACTGAGCTCGCCTACAAAACAAAGGAGAGTGTTGCCATCATGTGATATAAAGAATATCCAAATGAACATTTTCATGTTTGATATTACGTATGATATTTTGTCGAAAAATATTTTTCATGAGATAGTCTTTTATTTTTATTTTTGTGTGTTTGGAATACTAAAAGTATGTTTTTGATCCAAGAAAACATTTTTCATCAAAAGGGAAAAAAGGATTTCCGTCACTTCAATGCAGTAGTGTTTCGGTTGCCGCTGGTGGTGGTGGAGTCAGCTGTGTGTCGTTGAGGATGAAAAGGAAGTGGAAGAGAGAAGAGAACTCTCAAGAAAAGTTGGCTTCAATATTTTTTCGTATATTTCCACGAAGAACAATGGATGGGAAGATGTGATTCATTATTTTTCCCTTTTTATATATTTTCTATTTTCATTTATTTCGCATCTCTTTTTGATTTATGAAAATTTAGTAAATTTTCTTTTTCATGGTTTATTATTCATCCATGTAGCTACCATCCAATATAACTACCGTCATATCCCCTTAACCAATTATTTTACTAAGAATTCTAATAATGTAATGTTTAGTTTCTTATCTGTTTTTTGTTGTTTCCTTTTTGTTTTCAAATTAAAGTTACCTAAATTTAAAATATTGCTATAGAGTTATGATTTCTAAGGAATTAAAGTTGAATACTTACTAGACTAAGGGATTAACACAATTTCTTATATTTAAAACAATTATTAGCCACTAGCTTATCCAGTAATACGTAAGTGATATTAATTTGGAACCATACAAAATCTATTATTTATGTAAGTTGAGTTAGAAAGTTGTGCCATTTTTAGTTCTTGTTTTGCTCCTCTAAGTACTGTCCTCTTTCCCTAATATTTTAACATAGCTACTACTTTTCAATTTAAACATAGTATTGCTATAAAGTAATATATTGTTCAATACTTCACTTTTTTCCTTTCTGCCCTTGTATTTTGACACCAAATGTTGTGGAAGACTAGCCATAAACGGTTTTCTTTAATAGGGATCCTATTCTTCTACTAACATTTATGGTTGTGTATTTCTAGGATGGTATTAAACAAAGTTGTTTGAAGAATCTGCGTTGTTTTGGAGAAGCGCATTATTTGACTATGAATTGAGATCAATATATTGTTTTGAAGTAAGGGTAAAGAGAATGAGGAAATAAATAAACAGAGACTCCATATTTTGAAGTTTTAGAAAGGAAGAAAGGATTGGATGCAGGAGTTTTCATGCAAGAGAGGGATACATTTAATAGATGGCCTCTACTTTTTTAGAAAGAAAAAAAATTCTTCTCTTTTATCCTTTTCTGTTTCCTTCTCCGTTTACTTTTTGTTTAAGTTTATTGGTGACAAATTAATGAGAAACTATCAATATTATGGAACATATGTGTAAACAACTAATAGAAAGAACTAAGAAATAAAATATTAAGAAAAAGGCCTTAGAGAAAGAAAAGAAAGCAAGCGACAAGGAGGCGATGGAGAAAAGGACAATGCAAGTACCTGACTGCTGCAAGGAGGCGATGGACAATAATGTTGATCGATAATGATAGGATTTCTGACATTATCCATGAAAATATCCTCAAAATTTATACTTGTGGCACTACCAGACTCCGATGGTGCCCAAGTCTTAATCCTGGCGCCATTTTGAGTAGCAATGAGAGTGCAATTTTTGACATGTATGTCTGTGACGACTTCATTTTGTGCCTTCCCTAAGCTTCCAATGCTTATTCCATGGCCAGGGCCACAAGTGATCCCTGAAATGTTGATGCTTTGGCTGCCGTTGATCATAGATATACAATCGTCTCCAGTGCCAATGTTTGAATCCAAAACTTGGATGTTGGTGGAGACGCCCATGTGAATGCCGTCAGTGTTAGGGCTATCGCCTGGTGCGGTTAGGTTAACATGACTAAATGTCACGTTATTGCACCTAAAGAGGTCGAAATGGAAACTCTTGCTATTGATTGAGTTTATGTCGTGCACCGCCGCATTTTCGACAAAATCTAATTTCAGTGTCTGGTTCAAGTTTAAAAAAATACAATATTAAGTTTTTAATAACTTCACATTATAACCACAAAAAGAAGTATTTTGTAACCACGTAAATGGTGAAAGAAATTTTGTAATGTCACTATTTTTTGATTTGCTATACTTCTATGATTGAGTAATATGGTAAATGCACTTTTACGGCGAAACTGGATTTAGTCCAATTATCGATATGCCAAATATACGAATAAGTTTATTCAGAATAAAAATATATCGGAATAAATTACACAAAAATGACAAATAACATAAAATTTATGCAAAGTTAAACTTACAATAGGAAGGGTTGGGCAATTAGAATTCTTGGAAGTATCAAAATAAGGCCAAGCTGAAGCTCCTTGTCCATCTAAAGTTCCGCCTCCTTCAATCTCTAAGCCATTCACATATTGAAAGGAAATCCAAGTGGAATTGCAGAATAGAGAAGGATCTGTTGCAGCTTTAACAACTCCTTGGATTTGGAAGATCATGGATCCACTGCATGGCCCGATAAAATTTGCAGCATATACCATGTATTCCCCTGAAGGTATCAAGAATTTGGCTGTTCCATTCCATTGGCATGCATCCTTCCAAGTACTCAACAATGCCTTCCAAAATAAATCAATAAATAAAAAATAGAGACTTAATTAAATAATTATTAGACACTGAATTTTCATATATACAATGACAATTATATGTAGTCATGTTGACAAAAAGGGCAACATTATACATGTAATAATGACTTTTGAATAACAATATCATCTTTTTCTTTTTTTATTAATTTTTAGGACAGTTATACCGACTTCCTTTTTTTATCCTTCCCAAAAGCTTTCCACTTTGCTTCATTTATGACGCATATCCACAATCTCACGGTTGGAAGTGGAGAGTGCTTACCATTTAAACAACATTCTCTTGTCTTATACCTCATGTTTCAGCATGTAACGCATACATTCCTTATGATTTTAGATTTGTAGTAAAACTCCTTTCTGTAAATTTTTGTGCAGCAAAACACAATACTTAACTCTTCAAGTGGAAAATTCACCGCTTAATTAAGCTTTAATTCTATTGTTTTTCGTGTACTAGAACTATAACCGCACATTCTATTGAAATAATGATCTAATCCTACTATTTACACACTTACAAACATAAAAAAACTCATATGAAACATAAGTTGACATTACACATAAAGGAAAAGCTTGTCTATTTGGGAACTATAATATTTTTTATGCCAAATATGAAAGAAAGTGTGCAAACATATAGTTTTACTCGTGTGACAGTATGATTTTGTCAATATTTTTCATCCGTCTAGAATTTGTGCAAGAATTCATACGATAGACACATTTAAAGATAAAATGGCTGGTTCTCACCTTACTATTATCTGTCTTTCCATCTGCTATAGCACCATAGGATTGGACATTGAAGAGCTTCTCCTCTGCACTACTGCACCCAAGAATAAGGCATAATAGAAAGGCTATTCCGAAACTAGAAATTAAAGCCATTTATTTATTAGGTTTCTTTTTACTTTCTTCATCACTTGCCTTTATATATATACACCTCCAATTTCTCTCATACTTTCAAATCATTATTCATTCATTAATTTTTTACCTTAGTAGTCTTGCATTGAGAAGAATATATATCATAAAAAGAATTTGTTTCTATTACACTAAGAGATTCTATAGATGTAATGGGTTAATAAGCAAGGAAAGTGAATCGATATCTTGAATGAATATCATGGAAAGTTTATTAAACTGCCAGCTAGACTTATGAGATCCATTTAGGTTATTCTTTTACAAGAGGATATCCTAGTGACCGAAAAACAATATAGTTAAAGTCAAGTGAGACGTGAAAGCTTTACATTATTTTTAAATCAACTCAATGCCAAGATTCATCCGAAGCAAATTATCACATTAACAATGCTGGAGAGACTTCCCTTTCAAAAAAAGCAAACAAAAAAAAAAAACAGAATTATCATTTTTTCTTAATGAAATTACAATTTTTTTTTTTTTTTGGTACAAAACGTGTGCAGAACAATTTAGAAAGCGATTGATATTAATTAGTAATTTAAGAGGCATTTAGTGACCCCTAGAGCGAGGTGTACTAAAAAATGCACCGAGGCTAATGGCAGGGCGTGAGTATGGTGGGGCATAAGCCCTAACATTCCGGGCGTTCACCTAGGCATAAGTCCCCATGCCCTGGGCGTTCATTTGGGACATAAAGCTCAAAAACTTTTTCAAATTTGAGCCAGAATTGCTTAATAATTTCCTTTTATTAAAAAAAAACCTTAAACATCCAAAGTAACTCACTAAAATTCAAATATAAAGTTTAAAAAATCAAAGGGGTTTTTTTAATTTATCATAATTTCATAATCTTTACTCTTTGTTATTTACTATCGAGAAACAAATGAACTTTAGACTTTTATCTACAAAGGGGAAACTACAATGCAAAAAGGAGTTTTCTCTCCAGGTTCCACCCTTGCATTTCCTTATTTATTCTTCATTTTCTTCAAAAATAAAAACACTTTTGCATTCTTTAATTTATTATTTCATGTTACTTTTTTAATTCAGGATTTCTTTTGGTGTCGCTCTAGTTTAGATATTCATTTGATAACATAGGTGTAATACATCTTTATATCACTTATTGTAATGACATGGCTAATTATTTTGTGTATTTGAGCCCCGTTACCCTACTTAACATTTTTCGTATCTGTGTTTTGATTTTGTAATTTGCGGGAGCGGTTATTCTGGCACCGGGGAGGTTTTAGAGGGATTTGAGACACTTAGGGTGTGTTTGTATGAAGGAAAATATTTTTAGGAAAATAATTTTAAATTTTTCCATGTTTGGTTGGCTTAAATATTTTGAAAAATATTTTACTCATGAACTCATTTTTCACTAATTTGAGGAGAATATTTTTCCTATCAAGAGAAGGGAAAACATTTTTCAGAATTCTCTTCCAACCTTCCCCCCATTACCCATTCCCCATCCCCACCAACCCCTACCAACCAACCCTCACACCACCACCCCACCCCAACTACACCCACCTTAACCCCATCCACCTTCGCCCCACCCCCACCCCACTCCCACCTCCTCCCTAAATAGAAATATTATTGCTTTCTTTTTATTTTATAAATAGAGTATTTTTTTTCATTTCAACAAATGAGTATTTTCTTTTCATGATACAATTTTTTTCGTTTTAACAATAAGTACTTTCTTTTCATGATATAGAAAAAATATTTTCGTTCATTTTACAAAATGATATAGTAAAAAGTATCTTCTTTCATTTCAACAAAATGTTGTAGTAAAAGTAGTTTGTTTTATTGCTACTAAAAGAGTATTTTCTTTTCATGATGCAGATTAAGTATTTTACCCCACTTTGTGGGATTTTACTGGGTAGTTGTTGTTGATGCAGATTAAGTATTTTCTTTCATTTCAACAAAATGAGTATTTTCTTCTCATGATGTAGAAAAAATATTTTCTTTCAATTCAACAAAATGAGTACTTTATTTTCATGTTGTAGAAATAGTACTTTCTTTTTCAACCAAAAGAAGTTTTTTTAGTTATGGAGCACAAATTTCAACGTTATTTTCGTGTAAGAAAGTAAAGCAAAATATTAGTTCCTTTGGGTTTGTATGAATTTTTAGAATGATAATTAAATTCTTGAAGAAAATAGAGGTCATAAAAATATTGGGTATTTGGGGGGGAGGGGGTGTCACAACCCAATTCTCCATCCGTAAGATGTCGTGAGGGCACCTAGTCTCTACGAGTAGGTAAGCCTAACAATTGAGGAATAATCAAAAATAAAGACAGAATCAACAACTAAATTTCAACAGATAACTATATAACGGAAAAATGCCGCTCGGCGTGTACAAGTAAACAAGCACTCGAGTATAAACAATATTCCCAAAATTCGAAAGTCACAAGTCACAAGCTCTAAGAATTTGTCTAACTGTTTTTATACATCAGTAACTAGAAGAAATAAGGAGGAACAACATAAAAGGGATAGAGGGGGACTCCGAGGTTTGTAAACGCTGGCAGATAGACCTTAATGTCTCCGGAGCAGCAGCAAGTACGCAACTGTCACGACCCCAGTTCGCCCTCCGTGAACATGTCGTGATGGCACCTAGTCCCTACGACTAGGTAAGCCTAAAATGCGGAAATAATATAACTTGCGAAACAATAAATTAAACTAAGAAAAAAAAATAGGAGTAAAACTGTATGTAGGTGCCACCTGGCGTATACAACTCAAACGCGAAAGTCTACAATATCACCCCAAAACCCCGAAACTCACGGGAAACACAGGCTAATAGAAATGTAATGCACTGCTCTAAACTCCAGAAGTTGTATAAACAAAAGTACGAATGAAGTCTAAACGCTACAAGATAGAGTAAGAAGGAGACTCTTCGGTCTGCGGACGCTGCAGATGTACCTCAAAGTCTCCCTAGCTCTCTCTGCCTCAAGGATAGTGCACCTGAGTGGAGGTACCTGGATCTGCACATGAAAAACATGCGCAGAAAGGGCATGAGTACACCACAGCGGTACTCAGTAAGTGCCAAGCTTAATCTCGGTTGGGTAGTGATGAGGAAAGGTCAGGGCCCTACTGAGATATAACATAATATATAATAAGATGAGGAAAAACAGAGTAAATAAAGTCTAAAACGAGAATCTAACCAGGATAAATAAGGAAAACCGTAATAGAAAGCAGAAACAGGACAATACCAGTAAATACTACATCACAACAGGAAAAATAACCGGGGATCTCTTGGTATCCCGAGGATCTCTTGGTATTCTCATCACATACACGAGGGATCTCTTGGTATCCCGAGGATCTCTTGGTATCCTTATCATATACACGAGGGATCTCTTGGTATCCCGAGGATCTCTTGGTATCCTCATCATATACACGAGGGATCTCTTGGTATCCCGAGGATCTCGTGGTATCCTCAATACTTGTAATAACATGTGCCAGGGATCTCTCTGTATCCCGCACCTTCAGTCCAGAACATATCAAGTGCAGGGGGATCTCCCGGGATGCCTTCTCGTAGTCCCAATTTAAAAACACACAATAACAGCCCAAACATAAGGATAAATGCTAAACTCAGAACAAGTGATAGAAAATCCTAGCCTAACATTCTGCACGGAGTACAAACAAGACAGTTTAAGCACTTAGACAAATAAGTCAAATAAACATGTTCCTCTAGACTAGCATAAGAAAAACTTGCAATTTAAAATAAACAGATAAGCAAGAAAACTCAATTTAAATACTTCAAGTAAAAACGGATTTCCAACAATTAGCTCAAGTACGTGCTCGTCACCTCACGTACGAGGCATTCAAATATCAATTATCATGTCCTAAGGGGAAGAAGTCCCCCACACAAGGTTAGACAAGCCACTTACCTCAAACCGGCTCCAAATTCAACTTGAAAGCACACTTTTGCCACGAGTATCCGACTCCAAATGGCCCAAATCTATTCATTTCTATTACATCTCGTAAATAACATCTAAAGCAACTAATTCTACTATTTAATTTACAGCTAAGACGCAAATTTAGGTAAAATAACCAAAACGCCCCTCAGGCCAACGTGGTCAAAACCCGAGGTTCAAACCAAAATCCGGTTACCCATTCCCTCACGAACCCAAATATATGATTTGTTTTGAAATCGGACCTCAAAATTGAGGTCCAAATCCCCAATTTTAGAAAAACCTAGGTTTTACCCCAAACCCCCAATTTCATCCATGAAATTCCTTGATTTTAAGTGGAAAATATGTTAAATGATGTAAATGATTGAAAGAATTAAGTAGAAATCGACTTACAAGTGATTTGGAAGAAGTTTTGTCCTTGAAAAATCGCCTATGGGGTTTGGGTCTTGAAAGAATGGTGAAAAATGGTGAAAATTCGACCAGATTTCGCATTTGCGAGCATAAAGATCGCATTTGCGATCAGCCTACTTTCGAATTTGCGAGCACAGGGATCGCATTTGCGATCAGTGCCCAGAAATCCCTCGTTCGCATTTGCGACAAATTGGATCGCATTTGCGATCATATGCCCAGGCACAAGGCTTCGCAATTGCGATGTAAATGCTCGCATTTGCGAGCTCGCAATTGCGAGGCATATCTTCGCAAATGCGAAGATCACAGAAGGAAACATACCAGATTTTACAAGGTTCAAAAATGCAATTCGACACCTATCCAAAACTCACCCAAGCCCTCGGGGCTCCAAACCAAATATGCACACAACCTCAAAAACATCCTACGGACTTATCCGTGCGATCAAATCGCCAAAATAACATCATATACATCGAATCAAGCCTCAAAACTCATGATTTCTTCCAAATTTTCATAAAACATCAAATTCCCATTTTAAGTCCGAAACACGTCAAACGACGTCCGTTTTCAACCAAACTTTAAAGAAAGAGCTTAAATCATATATAAGACTTGTACCGGGCGCCGGAACCAAAATACGGGCCCGATACCATAGTCTTCTAATCAAATTTCATTTCCAATT